AGCGCCGTGGCCATTGCGCTTGCTACGTCTAGGACTTTTCCCGGACAGGAGCTGCTGGTCTTTCCCACGTGCAGACACGTTCAAATGCTGCCCGGCGCAGGCAGCCATTTTGTAGCGGTGTGTCCACCGTGCTGCGCAGCCCCTCTCCCGCCGGCAAGGCCTCTCCGCTCCTGTTTGCTTCCTCTTTCATCCTGCCGAGGGAGGCAGCGTCTCGCCCGGCTGAGTGCCTCCGGCGAATGCCGCAGCGGTGATGTTTATACTCAAATCCTCAGAGCCACACACAAAACCTCCCTTTCTACTTTCTCATTACTATTTGCATCAACCATGTCAATAAACTCAAGCCGAGATCTGCCTGACAAAATGGGTTTGCTATAGATCTGTGCTGCTAGCACCCATCAGACACTTATACTCTTGGGAGGGATCCTTTTTAAAGGTGCAGACCCATGGGGTAATACAGAAAACGGGTAAATAAATGGATTGGGCTACTTTGGGGCAACCGTGTTTTGTGGAGGTGAACGAGGACTGTTGATTCAGTAGGAATCTGGCAATTCTATTTTTGCTGACTGATCCCACCCCAGACGAGCCCACGGCGTTATCCTTTGCTTTAGCTCATATCTTGATTTTCAGGAATGTATTGACTTATAAACATTCCTGGGAGACATGAACTGTCACATTCTCCTCTTCACAACATGGGCCATAAGACATTTAAAAAATACCACTAATCACAAGGCTAAGCAGATTGTATTTATCTCTACTAAAGATAGTTTACAAAGGATCAACCTTTGGGTGGCTACTGTAAGGTGGGTGCATAACTGGCTGGATAACCGTCCTCAGAGAGTCTTTATTAACGGTTCACAGTCATGCTGGAAGGGCAGACCAAGTGGGCTTCCACAGGGGTCTGTTTGGGGACCTCTGCTGACAGCAAGGGAGGTTTGGGTCGGACATTAGGAAAAACGTCCTGCCTGTCAGGGTGGTTTAACACTGGAAGAAGTTGCCAAGGGGGTTGTGGACTCTCCATCACTGGAGATATGTAAGAGCAGGGTGGACAGACACCTGTCAGGGATGATCAGTGCTTGGTCCTGCCGTGAGGGCCAGGGACTGGATTCGAGGACCTCTCTGGGTCCCTTCCAGTTCTATGAAACTTGTGTTGAGGCTCCAAAACTGACACCCTAAGACAGGGATTAGCAATATCTTGCTGTTTGTTGGAAATGTACAAATGTGTGTGTTAGTTTTGTCGTTATGTACGAATCAGGAGAACTCTTCCTGCCTGTGAGTCACCGGCCAAAACCCAGGAGTTTTCAGGTGCCTAAGTAGCCGGACTGGGGTCCTGGTTAACGCTGCCCCCCTGTACCAAGCTCTGACATGGCGCCCCTCCCTCTCCGGGGGGGATATGCACAGCACAGCAGGGAGAGGAAGTCCTTCTCGGAGAGCCTCCTCACAGAGAAGGCTGCGTGGCCTGAAATCTGGCAGGGTGGAGCCTTGTCCCCCGGCACCGTGCTCCTCCCTGGGCAGAGAGTTCTGAGGACGGGCGTGTGGGCCTACCCCGGGACAGGGCTGGGCAGGGAGGGAGCCCGGCGCTCAGGCAGGCTCAGGGCGGAGGCGGCATGGGGTGGAATGTGAGCGCCTGCGAGAGGCGTGGACCCGGCCGAGCAGGTCGGACCGTTCAGGGTGCCCGGAGCCGTCTCCAGGTCCGTGCGCTGGGTCTGTGACGCTCCCCTGCTCCTGGGGCCTGTGGGCCACCAGGAGGTGCAGTGCGTGTGTCTCCCGGCTTCTCTGGCCTTTGCCCCAGCCCCTGCCAGGGACGCTCTCGGGCCTCCGTCGGTA